GCCGCAGTGGGCACAGTGCTTCTACAGGAAAACAAGCAACAACCATGCACCTACATTTCTAAAAAGCTAAATGAGATGGAACAGAGATGGGCACTCTGGGAGAAGGAAGCCTATGCGGTACACTGGGTGCTCCTAACTTGGATGCATTTTCTAGAAGGAGGGAAACCCCCATCTGAAATATGAACTGACCATAACAATTTAGAAGCTTTGAAAAAACCCCAGAGACTATCGCCCAAACAGGATCAGTGGGCCCACTACTTTAACCGATTCAACTTCATATTATGGTACCTTCCTGAAGAGAGGAACTTTCTAGCAGATGCTTTATCCAGACTGCCACAATACAATAGTTCAAAGCCAGAGGTAATTAAATCAGTCATCCCCTCCAGGCAACTGGTGGCCCCAGTCACCACCACCATTTTGGCACAAGCCAAAATAAAAACCCAACTAGCTAATGATTTAAAAGGTACCCTAAAGGCAGCTTTGGAGGAGGACAAATGGTTCCAAATGCACAGTGGAGAATGTACAATGCAAGATGGATTAGCTTGGGTGGGAGCTAAACTATATGTCCCACAAAGTCAACGATTAATGGTTCTACAAAAAAGCCATGATTCAAAAGTGGTGGGGCACTTTGGCTTTGTAAAAACCCTGCACCTAATCAAGTGGCAATTTTGGTGGCTGTCACTGAAAAAGAATATAGAGAGCTATGTGGCTTGCTGCACCATTTGTGCCTCTGCCAAGAGGTGACAAAGGAAAATATACAGAATTCTCCAGCCAGTAGCAGAGCCCAAAGCCCTATGGAAAGAGATATCAATAGACTTTATTGTAGAACTGCCCCAAAGCTCGGGAAATATAGTAATTTGAGTGATAACCGATTTGTTCTCCGATTTGTTTTACACTGTCAAAAAATGCTCTCAGCATGCACTTTGGCTAAACTATTCATGCAGCATGTCTATCAGATGTGTGGTGCTTCAGAAAGAATAATCTCAGATTGTGGGATCCAATTCACTTTGGCGCTTTAGCAGGGATTCCTAAAACCTTTGGGGACCACTCAGGGGCTCAGCTCCTTTCATCATCTGGCTATTAACGGGCTGTGAGAGAGCCAATGGAATCCTGGAGCAGTACCTCAAATGCTATATTAATTACCAACAGAACAATTGGATGGACCTCCTCCCTTTCACAGAGGTCACCTACAATAACTCAGTGCACAGTAGCACCAGGTTCACTCCATTTAAAGTGGCCACAGGACAAGATATTGTAGCTATCCCTGAATTACCTCAGGCCATCCCATGCTGAAAGATTGCCCAGTTGCCCAGTTACAGAACACCTAAGCAGTGGTGAGAAAAGCTTTGGATGAAGCTAGGGATGCATACAAAAAACAGGCTGATAAAAAGTGCATCAAGCCAAAGGATTTTAAGATAGGAGACAAGGTATATCTCTCTACAAATTTCTACAGTCTAAACAACCATCAAAAAAAATTGGGAGCCAAAATATGTTGGATCTTTCCCCATCAAGAGGATTATTAACCAATAACTGTAGAACTTGAGGTGCCAAAAATGCTCAGACATGTACACCCGGTATTCCATTGTAGGCTACTGAAACCAGAAATCATCCTGAATCATAACCACCTTCTGACCACATTATGACTGAGGGAGAGCAGCACTTTGAAGTCAAAGACATTTTGGAGTCTTGCATACATCAGGAAAAAACTCAGTATTTGGTAGTTTGGAAAGACTTCACCCCCTCAGAAATTGAATGGGTTGACTCTCAACATATTAAAGCACCCAAACTGCTTTAAAAATTCCATGACCGACACCCAGATAAACTTCATTGAACTGTTTGCTAATTGAGAAATTTTGTGTATCTTTCCCTCCCTTCTCATTTTTTCTTTTGCAGGATTAACGGCTCTGTGGGGGGGGGGGACAGAATGGCTTGGCTTGCAGGCCTCACAGGCATCCTGCCATAACAAGAAAAAGGGGAAGAAGAGGGGAAAGGATGAAAAGGCAATAAAGCTTTGTGTGTACGTGATGGGAAACCGGGAGGGGGGGAATGACAGGTGAGAAGGACCAGAGCAGCCAGATCCTGTTTACATCAGCATCCCATGGCCAGGCACCCTGAGAAATATGAGGATTACCCCCAAACATCTCAGAGTTCTCAAAATATGTTGGCAAGCTCTGGTTGGCTGGAAACGGACTGGTCACCGGGGGAGGAATGGGCTGGGGGCAAACCTACACCTTATTTTTGTATCCGACAAACACGGTAATTTCAGAGCTGTCTTGACTTTAGTTCAACAAGCACTCTTAGAAAAAGAACCCTTTGCTTTAACCGAATGGAGTCAAAGGCTTTTCTTTCCTAAAGGATCAGATTGGGGCAGGTCTGACATTATGACTTTTTAAAACAAAATAGCTGTTTTGTCCTTTGTTGACATTATGTAGCAAATTTTGCTTCCACTGTTTTATTTTTAATATTTTATCTTTTAATATATCCTGCAACTTTTATATATTAGGTGCCTAAAATATTGCTGTAGAAAGTCACAAAATAAAATTTAAAAAAGTGATATGGGGTTAACTGCTACAGGGACAATTTGGTATTATAAGTATAACTTGTTTATTTTATCCCCTTTCAGACCTTGATGAGGAAGTAATATCTAGAATATATATCTTAACAACTTGCACGATAAGTCACAATACATACATACATTGGGGAATAATTCTTTAGTTTTATTCTTTCAGCATCCTTTTTTAAGATTTTTAACACAGAATCATTGCAAAAAATTTCCATCCACATCTTTATAGAATGAAGGATTACATTTGATGATGTCAGAAATTGCTACGAGATTCAGACAACTCTAGAGCATGGCTGGCTCAGGAATTCTGGGAGTTGAAGTCCATAAGTCATAAAAGAGCCAAGGTTGCCTACCCCTGCTCTAGAGGGTTGAATTCCCCTACTTCTTTGCTAGAAAAGATAATCCTACTATGCAATCAAAACTGTTTCATTGCCAAAACTAGGGCTAAACTGGATTATTGTATTGTGACTTTCAGTGGGGTCCTGAAAATAATCAAGGAGTTGCAATTGTGCAGAACATATTCCTATTTTTAAGTCAATATCAAAGTGGGATAATATATTTTGAATTATTGAACTTATAGTTTTAAAAAATTGTTGGTCATCTTATGCTGGCTTTTCTTTGAGGAAAACTGGTGTAAAAATAAAAATAATATTTGAAAGTCAATTTAATCTTTTGGGGGAAAAATACATGTTTCAAATAGTAAATACACAACTAGTTTCCAAGGTATTGTCTGGTCAATAGATTAAGTGATTTACCCTTTTTGTCTTCTTATTAATAGAGGTTCAGATTCCATTGTTCTAAAGAGGATTGGGAGGGGGGTTATCATGCCATATTCCTGAGACGCACCATACTAAGGAAAGTATCCTGAGCAATTGGAAAAGATCAGTCTCTGCCTCCCCCCCGCCACCCCCATAATCTCAGGATTCAAGTCCTTTGTGGGTTTTCTGCAAGCAAGAAAATGCAAGTTTAGTGAAACCAAAGAATAATATAATAATAATGATAAAGTTGGAAGGGACCTTGGAGGTCATCTAGTCCAACCTCCTGCTCAGGCAGGAAACCCTATACCATTTCGGACAAATGGCTGTCTAGTTTCTTCTTAAAAACTTCCAGTGTTGGTGCATTCACTGCGTCTGGAGGCAGGTTGTTCCACTGGTTAATTGTTCTAACTGTCAGGAAGTTTCTCCTTAGTTCTAGGTTGCTTCTCTCTTTGGTTAGTTTCCACCCGTTGCTTCTTGTCCTGCCTTCAGGCGCTTTGGAGAATAGCCTGACTCCCTCTTCTTTGTGGCAGCCCTTGAGATATTGGAACACTGCTATCATGTCCCCCCTTATCCTTCTCTTCGTTAAACTAGACATACCCAATTCTAGCAACCGTTCCTTATATGTTTTAGCCTCCAGTCCCCTAATCATCTTTGTTGCTCTTCTCTGTACTCTTTCTAGAGTCTCAACATCTTTTTTACATCGTGGTGACCAAAACTGGATGCAGTATTCCAAGTGTGGCCTTACCAAGGCATTGTAAAGTGTTATTAATACTTCACGTGATCTTGATTCTATCCCTCTGTTAATGCAGCCTAGCACTGTGTTGGCTTTTTTGGCAGCTGCAGCACACTGCTGGCTCATATTTAAATGATTGTCCACTAGGACTCCGAGGTCCCTCTCACACAGATAAATGTTCAATTTCAGAACAGTTTTAACTGAAGAGACAATGTAATGCAAGCATGCAGGCAGATGCTGTGCATGAGAAGCATCTCATCTGACCTAAAGCAAGTTTCTTCAATTGCAAATGAAGATATAACTAACACAAAGTTTGGCCTTTCCTATATTGTAAAATTAACCTGTTCATTCTAGCTATAACATGTGCATTGTATAACAATAGAGATTTGTTACATCTATTAATAGTCATACTAATGCATATAAATAAGGCTGAAAGAACTGAGCAGGTTGAACCTGCAGCAGAACAACTATCATAGGAAATTGATTGCTTTAAGGACAAGAGTTGACTCAATGAATTTGAGTTCCAAGAAAAAAAAATAAGAATCACATCCTGACAATAAAAACTTTTCAACAATGGGATAGACATTGTTGAAAAGTTGTCTCAGTTTTAGATATATTTTTAAATATATTTTAGTATAGGGTTTTCTTATCAGTTGAAAGTAGGAAATTCTGTAAAAGGTCTCTTCTAATACAAAGAATGGAATTGGACATTCTGGTACTCTGAATAAATGTATTTGGTTCTGATAGTTTGTTTACATTTCTACTATGTTTTGGAAATGGCCGCAAGTAACCAGAAAATAGAAAAATACCTTTAGGTGGATATTGCATCTTAATTATTTATTTCTTATATTAAATAATGGTATTTATAGCAGAAGCACTTTTCGTAGCAGTTCTGGAGGATATTGCGCACAAAATTAATAATAGATTTCGTATTTTTTTTCAACAGGACCAGCTGTAAGGTATAGCCAGTTTGAAGTGTCAGATCCTAAACCACCACCTCTGGTTGGACAGCATACACTGGATGTACTGAAGAGTATATTGGGGTATAAGAATGATGTTATACAGGATCTGTTTGATGCCGGAGTAATAGCTCAGCATGAATTCAAGTGAATTGATTTGATTTCTGTTGCTGATATGGATGAAGGTTTCATGAATCATGTTAGATATCTTTACTTTGCACAGTGTATTAACTGAACTATGATTGAATTTTATGTCACAAAGTATCAACTTTCACACTTTTTAAGAAATTTGGTTTACTATCAGGAAATAAATATTTTTGTAAAATTCAGATACCATCGCAGTATGGCTCATCACTCCCCAGAACTTTTAATTGTAGGTAATCTCAAATTTACTGTAATTGTATTAATGCCAGATGATTTTCAAAATACATTTAAAGAAATGTAATACTTAAATGTTACAGTTGAAGGAGAATTTATTTTGAAAATATTTTAACATAATAATCATAATATTGAGCAAATAGGTAGTTTCATTAATCATCTTAAATAGGAGCCTTATTAGCTTGCTAATTTCTTACATAAGACCCAATGAAAGAGGTTTTTACAACGTTAACTTAAATTTGGGTTACCAGATTTACCCTTGTAAGTATTTGGTTTCCATTACAATACAATCAAATGGCAGCTACATTGCACTTAAAAGTTACCGTACTTTGCTACATATCCTTATGTTTGCAAGAATATATTTAATCAGCTATGTATTAAACAGTGAATGAATAATGCTAGTGATTTTATGATTTTATTCTGGAAAGTTCTTATAGCTTGCTAAATTTGTTGTATGTGAATTTCCAGAATATAAGCAGCAGCACTTTCCCAGAAACATGATTCTGTCTGCAGGCATTGGGACTTATTTGATTTGAGATACTTTTTGGAGTTCTCTTAACAAATAAATGAAAATTAAAAGCTAACTTTTGTTACGAAGAATAAAAATTAATGGGAAAAAGAAACTTTGATTTTTTTTTCTTCCTAAATATAAAAAACAGCCAAAAGATCTCATTCATCTTATTTTAACATTTAGAAGGTTTTGCATAGTTATAGCAATGTTAGTCCCTTGTCTAATGCTTCCTGAAATGATGACCATTCTTTAACTTTATGAACTTTATTTCAATCGTTTTTTTACATTTTAGAAAGTAAATCCAAGATTTGTCTATTCTAGAGATTAAGGAAAGGGAAAGGATGAACCATCCCATTGTGGATTATAAAAGTTAAATATTGAAATTTACTCAAAGCAAGATATGTGGTAAAATTCTGGGTAATCACTATTACTGAGTTTTATAATTATTGAGCTAAATCAAGTTTGATTCATTTTGCTCCAAGTTAATATGTTTAAATGCCATGATGTAATTGGGGTAAGAACTGATTTCTTCATTCATTATGATCAGGATGCCTGGGGAAATCTCATTTCCATAGCTTCCAAAGTCATCAGAATGAGTCAGGAACTGCAAATCCAAGAGGGTTCAAGTCACAGGACAGGACTCCCTATGCCTGGCCTGAACGTGGGCATAAAAATGTTCATTTTCCATTTTTCATCCAAGAAAGCCTTTCAACTGACTACTAGAAAATGTATTTACAAAGCAAGAAGTTATAACTTATACGCACATCATGGATACTGATGTTGCAAAATAAAGCCCACAGTCTTCCCATTAGTTTTCAGTAGTGCCCTTCCTTGGGAATACATTGATGAATTTTAGAATATCTAGCTTCTATGCCAAGAGCAACTAATTGCATGAGTAAAGCTAGTAGAATCTGGACTATAATTAACAGCACGCGATACATGAAAGCAAAACCACTTTTGTATACAAAGCAATATGGCATTTCTTCAAAAGCATAGGGTGGGAGGAGGGCATTACTGTTCAATCTTGCAGGCATATAATTTAGATCAAACGTAAATCCTGAATAAGAAGATTCCATGGTTTTTTTGTGTGTGAGAGCATGTACTAAAATGAGCTATTGCTCTCTTTCCCCTGAAACTAAATAAAACTAACCCAAACTGACATTCAACAAATAATGACCATATTTCATTCAAAGGATCAGAAACAGGCTTGCTCATAAGTGGCCTGTCACTTTGTTTCTAGTTTAACAAGTAACATCCTCTGTGCTAGATTTGAACTTCGCAACTATATGTTGCTTTACAGAAAAAAAATAAAGCAAGAATATTATTATATAATTAAGTTTAAATGGAATTGCTCTTGTCTTTGAAGTTATGTGGTAGGGCTTCCTTTGTTAGTTTAAATTGTGTATCATTATCCTCTCATATTTTTAGATATACTACTAATGTTTTTTCCCTTGTGTGTGTGTATGTGTGTGTGTGTGCGCGTGCACGTGCGCACAAATGCATAACTTATTTGTGCTTTTGCAGTCTCAGTATCATTTGTCCATATGCTAAATCCATTATGAAATTCTGATGCAGAAATATTTGTAGCTAAAAACATTTGGAGCAAGTGCCAGAAAGAATCAGCAGGGCAAAAATAGGTTTCAGGGTTGGAAGTACAATTATATAACTCAACTTTAATTCAAGAAGAGTAGCCAAGGTTAATGAAAGAAAGAGTGCTAGGAAGTCACTTTTAGATAACATCATCTGTTCCCTAACTGGCAGTTATAGTAACTTATTCTTTCAAAATAATATTTACAAATAGATATAATGATTTCATTCGGTGAATCTCTTCCTCATTTCCAAGAATAAAAATATTTAAATTAGAGTCAGCTTTGTTCAAGGTCTCTGAAAATAAACCATCTTTGGCTTAGGTCAAGGCTTCTGAAAGTATCTTTTCAGTAGTTTCCCAGGCCTACTGATTTATTTTTTTATTTGGCTCAGTACATTTATTAAGCACACGCATGCAAGCATGATATCCACAGTTTTCTCCTGAAAATAAAGATGTACATATACATATACTGTAGGCTGTTTGAATTGCAAGAACTTTCTATTTAGTTTCATCAAAAACAAATCATAGCTTGATTAAAACTGTAAGAATGATTTGGAATTTATTTTCTGAATATTATTTGAACAATTTACTGTTTGCTTACAAATTTTGTTAATTTTTCCCTATTCAAAACTAACAGCCTGGGATCTTCCATAGTAGCTGCCATTTCCAAGCTAAGAGATGATACTTCCTTTCTTTGATAACTTGCAAACAAGCCAAATCAGCATCCATTGAGCAAAACCAAGAATTTAACTCTAAGGTAAAAGCTCACTTGATATGATCCCTAGTGAATATATGAGAAGATTATCTCAGATAATCTGGGTTAGTCCTGATCAGACTACTTGGTTACAAGTGTATGAACCTTAAAGAGGAATTATTACTTCGTTTCCCTGAAAATAAGACCTGGTCTTTTTTTTTTTTTTTTTGCCTCCAAAAGTTGTGGTGGTGGTTGTCTTTTCCACTTACCTTGCAGCAGCGGCACTGACAGCCCCGCCAAGCTGGCCGACTTCTGTGGCTGAAGGAGCAGCTTCATTCTGCAGCTGAGAATGGGAAGGCCTCTGACTGTGAAATGCAGGCCGGGGAACACTGCAGAAGAAGTGGGCCAGCAAGGAGAGGCAGGTGTTGATTCATGGGAGACCTGGCAAGTGGGTGCTGGGTGCATGGGGCAACTCCACTTCCCGCACCCTGCCCTAGTTTGATTTTTAGGTGTGTGCCTCGTCCCAAAGCTAGAGCTTATTTTGGGGGCAGGGCTTATATTAGGCCCACCCCAAAAAATGAAGCTAGGGTTTATTTTCAGGGTAGGTCTTACTTTCAGGGAAACATGGTATATAATTAAGATACCTGAAGATCAGATTCACATGTTGAAGTCACTGTGTTGAAGTCTCTTAGTAATGAAGGCTTGGCATATGACGAAGCAAAATGAGATAAGAATGAAGAAGGGAAATAAAAAATATAAATGTAACTCAAAGCTTGAGAAAGCAGTTCATGATTCATAAAACCACTAAATAAATCTGTAGAACAAAATGTTGGGCTATATTTTAATAGAAGACACTATTATGAGATTCTTGTCAAGGACTCCACATGGAATGTACTTAAATGTAATTAGAAGAATAAGATGCATTGGGGATCTGTCTTAATTAAATAGTATTGAATAAGCAGAAGGGCATCTCCTTATATATGGTAGTTTTTCTTTTTAAGTATACTGTGATATCAAATGTTTACTTCTATTTTAACAAAGGAAAACCAAAGATTTGGCTCTTGAAAAAGTGCTGCTGTAATTCTTAGATGATATAGAATAATACTGCAAACTTAACCTCAAAGAAAGCATTACATTATTTTAAAAAAATGGTATTGCACATAAAAGTGATGTATTCTCAGATTGCAGATTATTGTGTAAGATGTGCCCAATCTAATTATCTCAGTCCCAAATGTCAAAAACCACACTTTCCAAACCCTCCATTTACTGAAACTGAGCATAACTTTCTCAGTTGCCACATTGTGCAAGACTTCAAGAAATTGACCAAAACATTACTAAAAGCATTTAAAATATTTCTCAGCTTCCCTCCCCCCCATATCACACACATACACACACACACACACACACACAAACTGGAGAAGTCTATGATCTGACATAATGAATTCTGGATAAATATGTTATTAATTGCTCACCTGTAGTTGCTATGCTCTATATTTGAAAGGTTCTTTTACTGCTAATGTTTCAAAACAATTTACAATAAATTTATTTCAACATGTTTGCAAGACTGTGTCATCTACTCAAAGAACAGTGGGAACACTGATTAAGTTGGTTATTGCTTATGATAAATTCAAAGCTTCATAAACAAGATTAATTCACTATTACTTCTGAACCAGCTGTTATACTGATCAATTTGATTGTTTTACATGTTACAAAAATGGCATATTACTAGCTGAATAACAGAAGAGAAGATTAAAGAAAGCAAAGAAAATGCTAATTTCATCTGAGTATTATTCCATTTATTCATTCATTCCTGGCAGTAAGAAGAAGGAAAAAGGCAGGATGTTATGAGGCTAATATGAATTGCTTAAGAATTACATACTTAAAAGAACCAGTAATCTAGAAATCACTGGGTTTTGTGAGACTGAGTTAACTTGATTTGTACTACTTTATGAAATAAACATTAGAAATTGTCTTCTGATCTCATTCAGATTAGAGAACATAACTATATCTACAATGGCAGAGCACTTCTCTAGGATTACAGTTCCAAAGTGAAGATCTCAACTTAAATGTTTTGTTATTTAGGTGATTTTATAATATTCCGCATCTATCCAAGAGTTCCTGTTCTTATCCTCTTTCATATTCAGGCTATTCATGTATTCCTCTTCAGTGTTTAAGAAGGAAATCTGTTACTTATCTATGTTATACTTCTTTGAATGGCCTGTGCCAAGAACCCAATTTGAAATCTTCAAAAAAGTCTTACAAAACATACTGATCACTTACAGAAATGTTTAGCAGAAGCCTTAAATGTGTTTCATGTTCTAGATATGGTAGCTGCTGACCCCCTTCAGTTTCTTACGATCATCACAATGGGATTAAAAGGCCAAGAATTTATCTGTAAAAAAATAGATCAAGAGGGCGGTATTATGTTAATTCACAGATGGCCACATGGGAAAAGTTACATTATAAAGAAGTTAGGAGTTTTTATTGCAGCCTTTGTGATGCAAAAATAGGTGATTAACAAGCTTCTTTTATGAAGGTGAATATGATTGTCATATTACTGACAATAGGGTATCCTCTGAAAGATTGCATCCTTATGGAACAAACTTCAATATTTATAGGATATTAAGTAAAGGACTAAGCAGCTATTACTATCATTGCTATTGTGAAATAATCATGGATCAGAGGGAGAGATGATTCTTCAGCCAGTCTTCTAACAGAGTTTGATGACTGTGACTATGCATTTTGAAAAATGATGAAGAAA